TGAAATATCATGGGAATTAAGAAGCGTCCATGCATAGCAATGATAAGGCAAACCAAGTACCAGCTTCTCAGCAAGTAGTCCTTTATCAAGCCATTCCTTTATACTATCATTTGTATTGAGCCAGCCTGATGGGCCATATAAAGCAGCATGAGTGCTGTAAAATTATCTCTTGTAGGCAAATAGTAATCATATGCTAAAAGATGCATCCAATCCAAGTTCTTCTGCATTGAATATACAGAGTAAATCATGGAGTCGTTTGCAGGCTAGTGATGACAGCTCATTACCAATATCAGCTGTGACTTGTCAGAGTTTCTTGACTCAGAAGTTACTGCAGCGTAGCACTCATCTAAAAGGGTTCCTAAAAATTGGTCATTTTGGTGCTTCTATTAGGCTTTACACCACAAAGGTCTTGGCCTTGGAAGTCATAAACCCCAGCAGTTTTTATGGAGGAGTCAATGAAAGTCTGTCTTGAAGATGTTTGGTTTATCATTGAAGAAAGGATAGTAGAGCATTGCCGTCCAGCCCAGATTGATAATAGGGTCGTAACTGATGGATTCTTGTGCTTCACAGTACTAGAGAAATTAGAGAAGGATTTTTCATAGGTGGAGTTTATTAAGATGTTGTCAGTGGAGGAATCTATGTAAGCATACTACACATAAGGTGAGTGAAAAGAGCACAATTTATGCCAGAAATCGGAAGCTCATTGCAGGAAATCCAGTGGCCGCCTCTAATCCAACTTTGACAGTATGAGAACTGCAAACTGAGGGACAGGTATAGGAAAATAAGGCTGATGGTTTTGCAAGCCATTGATTCGTTGTACAAGAAAAAATTTAGCCAAATTTGAAGCAAATTTTAGTATATGCTAATGCTAATTCTAATTCTAATTCTAATGTTAGGCAAATCGGAAGCTATCTAAGGTAAGTAAGTGTGCGCAAGAAAAAATTGAATTTTTTTATATGCTAATCAAGCTTTCAATAGGAAGGAAATTTTACTTTTAAAATTTTTGGTCATTCTTCGGTCAACTGTTTAAAAACTGTGCATTTGTGTCAGACAAAATTAAAGGATGCACATCTTTACTGAATGCATAGCCAGTCAACTATAAAAAATCCCAGAATTGTCAAATTTTTGAGGTTACTGCTACATATAATTACCACCACCACCAATTAGGAGTGAGCAGGAAAAATTGAAATTGTCATACCTGGAAGCATTTTTGGTCGATATACTGTCATACAATTACCAAGGAAAATTGGATGAAACCCTTAAGACGGAAAGTGACACCGACATTCTTGTTTAATAACCACATTAATTGAATATTCCATGAATCGGATATTCATCCGAAAAAGTTGACAATTAATTAATATAGTTAGATTGACTTATCCTCTTTATAAACCTGTAGATGATTGTGTGCATATAACAAATAAACTAAAAGAAAGTATTGCATCAGCTATGAATAGTAGTACAGAACAAAATTAACTCTACAGAATAGAGTTACAGGTAAAAGAATTAATCAATGCCTTATGGTGTTACAAGGGATGCAAACAAACAAACAAACAAACAAAAAAAAATTGGAAAACTTGAGTGTTTCAGAGGAATTCTGCAATCTCCCCTGCATGCAGTAATTATTTCAATATCTTTCAAGATTAGTCATTGACTCATCGCGGTACCAGTTGAGTAATTGTTGCATCATTGACTGAAAATATTTTCACCTTGACGATGCAATTACTATCCTCATCTTCATCTCTTTTGACTGAAAAAGCAGGCTTCTTAGGAGAAGGGATGTCTTCAATTTCACCTTTGAGCATGTTATAAACCTTGAGCATGGTTGGTCTTTCANATAATCAAATAATGTCCGCATTCATTGGTAAGCACTGGTGAACACCTTGAGCACCTTGTACTTAATAAATGGCTGAAGTCTAATTTATGCCAAACTATGACCCTACATTATTGTAACCAAGAAGAGAAAAAAAACTTGTATTCATTGGTAAGTCAATATAAACTTAATAGATTGCTAAAGTCCAATCGACATTTCCTGTTATTTTCTTGGAGGACAAATAATTACGTATGTAATATGTAATATGTTGAGCTGGAATATATGTCACTCATTATTTTTTCTTAGACGGCTCTTTGTTGTTGCTTTTTTGTTCTGAGCTAAACATCTCAATGTCTTAAAAAAATTAGCTTAAAGTAAACCAATAAAATGACATGCATCAAGTCAATGTCATCGTATTGGCCTTTTCTTCGAATTATCCATATAATACAAGATGAAACTACAACCAATTAATCGCTTTCATAGTTGGCATCCATGTTTAATGGCAATAGGTTCAATAACATTGCAGAAAATTATAATGGTCAAATTAAGCAGCTTCCTACCCGATCTCCAAGGACCACCAAATATTGGTCTTGCAAAAGCCTAGAGTCATCTTGCTACCACTTCAGAAATTGTTGCATCATCAACCGAAATTAATTCTGAACTTTTAGTCATTTTCTTTTCATCACTTTGTTCTGAGACGGCAGGCTTCTTAGGGCTGATTACTGTATTTGTGGATCCAGTTTTGAGCATCGAGGAAATTTCTAACATGGACAGCCTATCATTTTGGTTTTCTTGGACACATAGTAGAGCTATTTCCAAGCATCTCATTAATTTACATGAGGATTGTGTATCATCTAATGATGGATCCACAAACTCCATGCCTTTGTCATCTTTCCATGACTCATATGCCTGAAATTTTATATGAAAATATATATATCGAATTAAATATTTCCAATACTAATTAGTAATATTAATGGCAAACTTACATGCTTTAGAAGGCTCAAGTCTTCATGTGAGCCATATAACGATGAAACCTTTTTTCCACTTATGATTTGTAGAAGTAGAACCCCAAAACTATAGACATCAAGTTTAGTTGAATATATGCCTCTTTTAACATATTCAGGAGGGATATAACCACTGCATTGAATTATCAGAGATAGTGTGTTAAGCATGTGTCTTAACAAGTGCAAGCTTACAAAGCAATATAGAATAAAAGAAGATTTACGTGTATTTACTATGTTCCAACAATTCGTTCTGTTTGATGATCATTTTCCACAAAAATTTTGGCTATACCAAAATCTAATATTTTAGGCTTCATATTTTCATCCAATAATACATTACTTAGTTTCAGGTCTCGATGAATAATAGTCAATCTCGAATATTCTTGGAGATACACAAGTCCTTGGATAATCCCCTCTATGATTTGAACACGTTTTGTCCAATCCAAAAGAATTCGTGNGAGGAACATAGCCACTGCAATTCAACATAGGCAAGAAAATGCCATTATTCAACAAAGAAAACTTATAGAAATAATGTGTCACATATCAATTTAAGCAAGTTAATAACTTACTATGTTCTAACTATGCGGCCTGTGTTAGCTTCGAATTCATCTTTCGTAAAAGCTTTAGCCATTCCAAAATTTGATATTTTGGGGTTCATTTCTTTACCCAACAAAATGCTGCCAGCCTTTAAGTCTCTATGAACTTTTTTAAAGTTTGAGTATTCTTACAGATATAAAAGCCCTTGAGTAACACCTTCAATGATCTGAACACGCTTTCTCTAATCTAAAAGATATCGTCTGTTAGCATCTGTAGAAAACTAGACTTGTAATCATTTGGTCAATTAAAAACTAGAAGCAAAAACAACAAGACAGTCAAGTTTCCACAAGTCCTAAAACATAACTGTTTTCGCTTATGTTTTGATCTTTCTAGAAAAGAGTAAGATTACATATATAAACTTGTATAGGAGTGACATATCATTCATCCATTTTGGTATCAGTTTGAAGAGTTTGTAAGCGTAATATTGTTACATGGACAAACTATTTAAACCCAGTTAAAGATATATAGATCATAGTTGGAAGTATAGAGTTTGCATACCAAAGATGTAGAAATCCAAGCTTTTGTTTCAGCATGTGTTCATAAATCAGCATCTTTTCTTTCTTTTCAGTGCAAATTCCCAAGACTTGTACAAGATTTACATGCTGAAGCCTTGCAGTAAGCTCAACTTCATTCTTAAACTCTTTAAGTCCTTGATGAGAAGTTTCTGAAAGTCTCTTGACCACTATTTCTTGTCCCTTCATTAACCTCCCTTAACAGTTGAAACCAAGTACTTTTTCAAACAAAATTTATATACAAACTGATGTGACACAATAGGCTTAATCTAATACTTTAAAAAATATCATGAACACCCTGTATATGGCATCAGCTGGACAACTCCTAAACCAGCACCTTATACGTTACAATCTGTTAGTATTACCTTGTAGACAGGACCGTATCCACCCTCGTCGAGCTTATTATTGCTCGAGAAGTTATTTGTAGCCGCTTTAATGGTTGTAAAACTGAATACTTGCAGCTTATTTGCATCATTGTTAAGTTTTTCAGTAGCTGATATTTTTATTTTTAGTTTAGATAGTGAACTCTTCATAGTACTCATAATCCCTGAAACCAAATATAATGTAAAGCACAATTCAGTCATATAAATGGTCAAATTACTCTATTTCAGGGTTGATTATAGCACTCATATTGAACTGCAAGCTTAAGTTACCTGTTGATTTGAGTACTCTTCTTTTCAAGCAGCAAATTATGGCATTAAGAAGCAGCATAAGTATTGCTACTGTAACAAGAATTATTATCAGTAACTGCGACTTGTTTCGTTGATCTTCAGTACTTTCCTTTTGAACTAAAAATATGTTTCTTATGTTCATTAGATTCACATAGTTGTTAAACTTCTCTAATATTTTAATAATATGATAAATTGGAAACACTTGGGATTGATCTTCCTAGTGAAATTCCCCTGTATTTTCTCTGTTAAGCTAATAATGGAAAAGATAATTGAAGAANCGCTTTCTGTAGTCTAAAAGATACCGTCTGTTATCATCTGCAGAAAACCAGACTTGTAATCAGTTGGTCAATTAAAAACTGGAAGCAAAAACAACAAGACAGTCAAGGTTTCACAAGTCCTAAAATTTAACTGTTTTCGCCTATGTTTTGATCATTCCATAAAAGAGTAAGATTAAATATACAAACTTGTATAGAAGATAGTTGGAAGTATAGAGTTTGAATACCAAAGATGTAGAAATCCAAACTTTTGTTTGGCATGTGCTCATAAATCAGCATATTTTCTTCCTTTTCAGTGCAAATTCCCAAGACTCATACAAGATTTACATGCTGAAGCCTTGCAGTAAGCTCAACTTCATTCTTGAACTCTTCAAGTCCTTGATGAGAAGTTTTTGAAAGTCTCTTGACTGCTATTTCTTGTCCCTTCAGTAACCTCCCCTGACAGTTGAAACCCAGTACTTTTTCAAACAAACTTTATATACAAATTGATGTGACAATACGCTTAATCCAATAATTTAAAAAATATCATGAACACCCCTGTATATGGCATCAGCTGGACAATTCCTAGACCAGCACCTTACATGTTACAATCTGTTAGTATTACCTTGTAGACAGGACCATATCCACCCTCGTCGAGCTTATTATTGCCCGAGAAGTTATTTGTAGCTGCTTTAATGGTTGTAAAACTAAATACTTGCAGGTTATTTGCATCATTGTTAAGATATTCAGCAGCTGATATTTTGATTTTCAGTTTAGATAGTAAACTCTTCATAGTACTCATGATCCCTGAAACCAAATATAATGTAAAGCACAATTCAGTCATATAAATGGTCAAATTACTCTATTTCATGGTTGATTATAGCACTCCTATTGAACTACAAGCTTAAGTTACCTGTTGATTTGAGTACTCTTCCTTTCAAGCAGCAAATTATGGCACTAAGAAGCAGCATAAGTATTGCTACTATAACAGGAATTATTTTCAGTAACCGCGGCTTGTTTCTCTGATCTTCAGTACTTTCCTTTTGAACTGAAAATATGTTTCTTATGTTCATTAGATTCACATAGTTGTTAAACTTCTCTAACCTTTTAATAATATGATAAATTGGAAACACTCCAGATTGATCTTCCCAATGAAATTCCCCTGTATTTTCTCTGTTAAGTTGATGATGGAGAAGATAATTGAAGAATGATCAAATGAATAACAAGTAAATAACAATTCCATACCAGCTGAAGAAAGCTCCTATTTGTCATCATTAGCGAGCTGAAACACATAGTAACCGAGCAGCCCTTTCTCTTTGGCATAAGAAACTTTTGCTCTTATAGCCTCTACACCATCAAAATTGATCCAATTTGTTCCAGTAGTGAAGAAATTCACCACATAAGTGTGATTATACACTGAAGCAGCTCCATAACCATAATCTCGAACGTACGATTTGATGAACTTGTAGCCTATAGAACCATCTATTGTGATACTGGGACCAGAAGCCGGTGCACCGATAGCATTTTCAACTGGACTAACCAGTGTCCAGGCGTAGCCATGATAAGGCAAACCCAGAACAAGTTTCTGAGCTTCAACTCCAATTCTTAGCCATTCACTTATACTATAATTGGTATTGAACCAACTTGAAGAACCATATAAAGCAGCATGAGCGCCTATAAATTTATCCCTTGTAGGCACATAATAGTCATATGCTAAAACATGTATCCAATCCAAGTTTTTTGTCAAGGATTCTATTTGGTAACTGATCGAGTTGAGAACAGGCAAATGATGGCTGGTCATTACCAGTAAAAGCTGTGACTTACCTGAGTTTCTTGCCTCGGAATTTACCTCATCGCGCCATTCGTCGAAAAGGGTTCCTAAATTTGTCATGTTGATTGTTCTATTTGGCTTTACACCAGCAAGGTCTAGGCCATGGAAGCCATAGAGCCTGGCTGTTTCTATGGAGGATTTGATAAAAGTCTTTCTGGAAGAAGATTGGTTTATCATTGAACCAAAGATTGATGAGTCTTGTCCTGCACCCCAGATTGATAAAAGTGTTACAACTGACGGATTCTTGTGTTTCACAGTGCTGGTGAAGTTGGAGAAGGATTCTTCAGAAGTTGAGTTGATAGAAATATGGTAGGTAGAGGAGTTTATACGAGCGAAACCGCACATAAGGTGAGTGAAAAGAGCAGAATTTATTTCTGAAATGGGGAGCTCACTGTGAGAATCCCAGTAACCACCTCTAATCCAACTTTGTGACGAGTTTTCGCAGTTCGAATGGGGAAGACAAATGAAGAGGAAGAAGAAGAAGGCGATGGTTTTGTCAGCCATTGACGGAAGGAGGCTCATGTTTTGCAGGAAATGTGAATGTTCATATAGCAAGTTGGCAAAAATACAACAGAGCAATTTTCCTCTGTTCACTTTATGGATAGATTTCGTGGAAAAATGATACACTTTCTCCTTTTTTGGACCACATGTTAAATGTAGAAGAGAAGATGTTTTTCTTTACAAGAAATTTGTGATGCTTTGTTTTGTAGTGAAAAAACTATCTAACAATGTTGAATTTAGGAGATGGACGGGACCCACAATGTTGAATTTAGGAGATGGACTAGGCTCCCCTCTTGACTCTGACTTATTGTTGTGACAGTATAATAAGCTAATGCACGCATACCACATCCATATGTAGTTGGTGACATGAATATACCGAATTATGATATGACTTACGTAACCTCTCATACCTTGATGGGAACCCACCCTGCCCTTTTCCTTCTCAACGTGAGATCCGAACATTCCCACTTTTTTCGGTGTGACTTAAAACTTACGTTTTTTACATTTTGTATAACCCACTTCCTGTGGTGGGGTTTGAATATTTGTCTTTTACTCACCTTAAATAGTGAGGTTTAGAACACATCCTCTTTGATTTTAACCTTAAATTTCATATTTGAAAATTGGGTTCGAATTAAGGGGAATGCACTTGAAACCTACTATTTAAGGTGGGTTTAAGAAAACCCGACTATCAGAAGTAGAGAAGATAATATGTAAAAATTGTAACTATTAGAACCCTATTGAAAAAAATGAGTAAGGGATATTGTTACAAGTGTCATGATCCTATCATGATATTCCAGATCTTGTATATAAAGGTATGATTCCAAAAAAAAAAAAAAAAAAAAAATACTGTCAGGTATACATCCATTTTGACAATTATAGATGTGAAAAGGGTTATCTTTTTGTCAATGACTGGAATTGCTGCAAGGAGGACTTTTCTCCCGATGGTTTTCGTTTTTAAAATTATGACCGGAATTGAAGTGCGGTGTTGGCTTCTTATTTTGCCTCTACATGCTCTTGTTGACGTATTAGAGACAGAGCGAAAGAGGTATTTTTAGGAGACCAAATATTAAAGGTGATTGAGACTGCAGGGGCTCCACAAGTTAATTTCTCTTTGGAAATTAGTATTACGTGCAACTTCCACCACACACAGCAAATCAAGAGGAAGAATGTTAAACAAAACTTGACCGTTGATTTACGGGACACATTCCTAGCTATTTCCATATTGACAAGTAATTACACACTCCTACCTACGTGCTAATGCTACGTACATATCTTGACCTCATGCAAACACATTTATTTAATTATGAGGATTCAAATCTTATAAACTTAATCCCAATATCATTTGTCAGCAGTGTGAAATGTAACAAAAATTTTGTACATTTTATATGGTATATGTTAGAAAATTCTTAATTGTGGGCTAAAATTAATTATAATTTGGTTTGATAAAATTGGGTAAATGTATAGTTCAACAAGATATCCTAATAGGTTTATATGATCATTCAAGAATTTATCCAATACCTTTTGTTTTATATAATCTGGGTTGACGATAAGTATGAGTTTGAGCCTTTAATGAGTTTTAGAGTTTATTAGACTTTTAATAAGAGAACCCTATAAATTGATATAAATTGACCCGGATGGATGCTCCCACCAGGCCCCACGTGCACGTGGTGGTGTCTGTGGGTGCATGATTTTTCTAATATTAATTTAGAATTCTTGGAGCAATTTCATTTTTTAGATTGTTAAAAAATATTAAATAGATTATTTATATGTAATGGTTGGTTTATTTAATATTTTTATGATGAATATTGCATGGAAAATTCTGGCAAAATTTGTGAAAATTATTTCACTATTGGTTGAATATTGTGGCATGTTGTACTCTCCCTATACTATGTTTTATATCTTATACTCTCAACATTGTCATATTTGGTTAATTCTGTACATAGCTGGAGAACAAACCTTAAAGAGAAATTATTGTTCACTAGATTAAAATACGACAGAGTTAAATTAAGATTGTCTGAGATAATTGGGTATTATATCTCATGAAATCTTAATTATGGCAATTAAAATGCAACATGATTAAATTGAGATGAATAATTATAATACTACACCAATAATATCCTCTCTCACAAACTTTCTTTCACAACCTTGACGTAACAGATTACAATTGATCAGTTTACAACGGGTCCCACATAGGTCTCACATAGGTCTCACTAATTAATTGCAAGCTGACTAATTGTAAGCTACCACGTCAGGGTTGTGAGAGAGTTTGTGAGAGAGGGTTATTGGTGTAGTATTACTTAGTCCAAGATAATTGGGTATTATATCTCATGAAATCTTAATTATGAAAATTAAAATGCAATAGAATTAAATTAAGATTGTTTGAGATCCCATGAAATCTTATTATGGCAATAAAAATGTAACAGGATTAAATTAAGATTGTCCAAGATAATTGGGTACTATATCTCATGAAATCTTATGACAATTAGAAATGCAATAGGATTAAATTGAGATTATCCAAGATAATTAGGTATTATATCTCATGAAACCTTAATTATGGAAACTAAAATGTAACATGATTAAATTAAGATTGTCTAAGACAATTAAGTATTATATCTCATTAAATCTTAATTCAATTAAAATGCAATAGGATTAAATTGAGACTGTCTAAGATCTCATGATTAAAATACAACTGGATTAAATTAAGACTGTCTTTAGATAATTGGGTTTTATATCTCATAAAATTTTAATTATGGTAATTAAAATGCAGCAGGATTAAATTGAGATTGCCAAAGATAATTGACTAATTGAGTATTAATTAAACCATTGGATGACCACCTTGTACTTAATAAATTGCTAAAGTCTTATCGGAACTGATCTCTGAAGTGGCAAACCGCTATCTTTATACCAGTAACCGGCTCTAATCCAGGTTTGTGCTGTTGCTTGTTGCAATATTATTATTGCTGAAGAGAGCAAAACATGGAAGATACACATGTGTATTTTTTGAAGCCATTAAAGCTTTGTAAAGAAAGTATTTCTATGGTTGATATTTATAGTAAAAGAGCTCTTTTTTTGTGTATTTTGAATTCTACATAATTCGAAGGTCGAATATTGCCAGACACATACGAAAGCTGGCCATCAAGTTCTAGAATTTTGCCGTGCTAAGAAGGTTAAACGATTGTAGAATCATGCATCTTGACTACGTCATAAAAGTTTTAATATAATGAAGTCAGCTGTAATTGGAGAATTCACTAGAAAGACTCTTTCCTAGACGTCATGATTTTGTAAAACAAACACAGCCAGAGCCAACTACTTCTTTGTAATCTCGTATTTTCTTTGGGGATTTTATTTATTTATTTATGTGAATTAGGAGGTAATGTGTAAGAATTGAAACTTTGGAGAGTTTTAGTAAGAAATAAGGCCTGGTGGGTTTATTAAATAGTTTTGTAGGAACACTTGTGGAAA